AAAAGTAGACTAGAAAAAAAGTACCTAGAAAAAAAATTTTTAATTAAATCAAGGAAAAATCGTGCTATTATTTATTTTCTGGCAAAAGAAAATGAACACAAGTATCTGTAAATTCATTTATGTTGCTTTACTAGTGAATTCTAACAAACAGACAATGGACAGATTATTTTAAAATTACAGAAATGTTTTTAGGAAATTCTTTACTATTCATCATTTGATGAGCTTGACAACAAAATTTGACAATGGCAATAACAGGTCATTCACCCTCATAAACATAAATATAGAAACCAAAACACAATGTTATTTAGAGCAAATTAATGCCAATGACGTACAAAATGTTAAAAAAGCAGAGGATGGAGAAAGGCCACCCTAATATCAGATGAAGACGGAAAAGCCATGCTAATGTCAGTGGAGGCAAAAAATAAATTAATTAAATAAAATTTCTCAACAATTCCTGACAAAAGCACTCGTTGAACTAGAAATAGATGAGAATTCTCTGTGTCAAATAAATACTGCATATTAAATCCTTCGGTAATTATTATACTTAAAGGCAGACATTTAGGATTGTTACCTACACATACTAAAGAAGGATTTATGATGATTAATAGACTTCCTATCAACAGAATTGACTTTAGAGTATGACACAGTTTCCTGCCCTTGACCTTCTCTTAAATACTGTTGTTAGGGATTTGGGTGAAGGTGGTTTCAAACTTGAGTAAGATTCAGTTTAGAAGGATATAGTGAACCAAAAAAGTTAGAATTCCAAATGATCTCCATGACCATAAATGCTTGCCTCAAATGAGCAAAATGATATATCATAGATATCTTTAGTGAGGTTCAAAATCAATTTTATAGATGTGATTTGTGGAAGAATCTATCTGGGAAGAGTTGATGTGAATAAAAAAACTGCAAAAACTTTACTTATCGCTCAGTATAGGTAAAGAAGACTACAGAGGAAACAAAAAAGAAAGGAGGCAAACTAGTCACTGTTCCTATTAAGAAAAATATTCCATCTAAGAACATTCAGCAGGAGCGAGACAGATCTAGGTTGTATCCTATCCTGCGACATCAGAATGTCAGTGCTGTTCACAAATCCTGTGTCTACGGCACAATTTTCAGTACAGACATTTCAGAAGGACTTTGGCTCTTGCACAGAGTGTAGTTCAGATGATAACAGGCCTAAAAATCATGTTCCACAAGAAAGGATTAAAGGAATGAACCATATTACACTTGAAACATACCTTTTATGTGAGCACATTCTTCAAATAAGAGAAAATGTTAAGAGGTCACTAGAGGTTAGAGTATGTGCTAGGTAACTTATATCTATAATTTAATCCTTCTAAGACTTAAAGGGTAGATATTAATAATACAATTTTATCAGAGAGGAAGCTGGCTCTCTGATTAAATTTGATCAAGACACCGAGTCAGAGTCAGAAATGAGTGCGAGCCCATGTCTGTTTCATTCCCAAACACGACCATGCCGCTTCCCTACCACGTCTGGACTCCTTGAAAGGCTGTTGTATGGAAAAGAGAATTCTGATGGTGTTCCATGGAAAGAAAAATAATTGGTGGAACAAAATTAAATTGGTTCAAAAGAAAAACCTTAATATGAGAGTCAGGAGACAGTTTTTTTGTTTGTTTGTTTGTTGCTTTAAAACAGATCTGGAACTTAGGATGATTATCACAATTTCTACTGGGCTCATTTTTCTCATACATGGAATGAGGGTATGTTTGTAACTAGTTGATTTCTAATGTTCTTTTTGCCATAAAATTATGTGATATTTAAGATTACCTGTAAAAAGTCTCATATATTAAAGTGTTTAATCTCCAGAGGCCCCAGGGTATGGAGCTCACCACTCCCCTTCACCATTGACTGTTCAAATGAAATTTTGCTTATACCTGTGGCTCTTCCCCCACAGAGCCTCCTATAAATAAACAACTACACACTCGCCCTAGAGAAAAACATAATTAAATTCAAATGGGGGGTGGAAGGAGGGAGGTAGAAGAGAGGAGTAAGGAGGGGGATTGGTAAACTCTCACCATGGGCACAATGTAAGGGCATACAGCACATTCCCTGGGTGAAAGGCTCAACAATAACTTGAACTTTACTTAACAATGGCAAGCAATGTAACCTAATCAATTTTATCCTCATATTAATCTGAATCATTTTTTTAAAACGTATTTAATCTCATTTTGCCTGCTTTAACAAATGATACCAGATTAAAAATACAAACTTTGCATATGTTCAGTTGAAGTTTAGTTATAGGTAGATTTAGTATCATTTTGATATTTGCAAATAAAAACTATAAAATAGAATCTCTGATTTATTCTTCTTAATAGTTTGTGAATATCAAAGTAAAAATTAAGTATAAATGTAAGTAGTTAATTATTTGAAATATTATCTATTTCAAAGAAACAAATGCATATCTTGTTGAAATTCCCTTGGTACCCCTTGCCCCAGAAAAACATTTTAGTGATGACTCAATTTGGAAGGAAGGGATTATTTCAGGACTCCCTCAGCATATGCGAACGTGCTGTTAGATTGTCTATATTTGGCTTTGTAAGATGATCTAATCTCACAAGAATGGATTGGTTACTGTGAACTAAGACCTAGAATCAGTGTGAGAACGGGAGTCAATAATTTATTTCTGAAATAACTTTGCAATAGACTAACAAAAAATAAATGATATTTTAGCTAGATTGGCTTTCCTTTAGGGATTTTCCTGTTAATGCTGTGGTTGACTGTACTGGACCTTACAAAGAAGAATGAAGTCATTGCATAGAGAAATGATGGTCTCTAAGGGAAAATGCTAGTTTTGAATGTACAGTTATATTTTAAAGTACATGATATTTTCAAAAGTGATTGATACTCTACTTACCTTAGATATATCATGAATTAGAAGCTAAATTACAAAGAATTTTTACATTATACAATAGCATACCATCTAGCTTCAGAAATAAGTTTGGAAAGCCACATCTTAGTGTCATCAGTACGAAGACCATTCTAAATGTACATTGACTCTCTTGCATAGTCTAAAAGTCACTTTTTCAGCAAATTTATGATATATTTTTAACTAGTCAATAATAACAGAGTGAATGAAATAAATTTGCTTATTATTGTTTTCTAACTGTATGACAGTGGTTCTGATGACAACTGATAAAGTAGTTGTCCATAATACAGATGCTGGTAAAATTATGGAAAACTCTTGACATAACTTTTTATCATTCTCAAGGTAGATAATTCATTAAAATAAAATAGTCTAAATTATTTTCACTTCACGATACAAATCAAAGGTATCATAGAATTATGTAAGAGAATTCAATTGACAACCAGAAATAAGACATTCTTTTTACCATCTCAGATTTTCCCCAGCAATTTCACGCCAGTTGGACAAGATACAACACTAAATACACCTGCATGAACAAGTACTGGATTTCCTACTGGGCTTACCAATTTTTCTCATAGAGTCCCATAACTATAACTTTCATGGCAACAAAATAAATGTATTCAGAGAACTGAGATATTCCCCAAATCTGTCACTTGTGTAGAATGACGCCACAATTTCTAATATCTACTTCTGTTGTTACAGAATTTAAAACAAAACCTGTTAAGGACAGTTTTATAATCTTATTAGATGACTTCTTATTTAAAGTGATACACATCGTACAACAAAATAGAAATTATCTAACACCAGCAAACCAGAATATTGTGCTAAGCTTCATCTGCTTCTGCTACTCTCACAAATAACCTTCATCTACACAAAACAGTATCATTAGTTCTCTTCTGAAAAGTAGAGAGGTGGTATTCTAATGTGATTTTACTTCACTTTCAATCGTTTTATTCTTGGGCACTACAGCCAGCCTCTATTCAATAGGATGGCTGTACCCGATCTTACTGTACTCTACACTACAGGTAGTGAAACAGGACAACACAGTTGATAAATGCAAAAGTCAACCAAAGTAACTTGTTAACATTTCTCCATGTGAGATGGGCAGCTGTTTCATGTAACTGCAGAAAAAAGATGCATTCGGATATGCCTAGGCCAAAGAAAATTTTGTCCCGAGATAGAATAAAACTTAGGTGTAGCTATATCTGTTCATCAGTGCTTAAGAAAACATTATAAAATACACAATAAATGAAAAAAAATAATAAAAAGGACTTTTTTTTTCCTGAAGCATAAATCTAAAGAATTCACTTGGTTCATTGAGATTCTATGGAGTTAGGAACTATTCTGCCTACTTTGGATAAATCAGTGAACAAAACAGACAAAGACCCTTCTGATTTGAAATTTAGCTTATGTGATGGAAGACAGACAGAAAACATTAAAAATGATATATGAATAATCTGCAAGCATGCAGAAAAAGCTAACCACTAAGAATGAAGTGAAGGTAAAGTAGAGAAGTGGACATTAGTCAGGTGAGAGTTGGGTTAGAAATTTAAATAATATGGTCATTGTCCACTGACTCAATACATATTTTAATATAATTCAAATAAAACTTTGAGATTTGGGCTTAGGAAAATCCACATTACTTTTGCTTACATAAAATCATACTAGTTTCGGTAAAGCAAGATATTTGACTTTCACGCAGGTCGAGACAGGCTAATGTCTATCCATTTTTTCTAAATACAGATTTTTCCTGGGAAATCTGAGAATTGCCTTAAATGTACTACTTTGAAATCTGTCCAAAATTAACAGGCACCCTGATACTTCAAAGATATCCTAGAACCCAATTTTTGGAATTTCTAGTAATATATCACGGGCTTTCCTTTCTTTAAAGACACAAAAATTAGTGTTTTAAGACTAAAAATCCTCTCCCTGTTATTTTAGACCAGTAATGGTCCATGTAGTTCAAGATTGTATTTCTAATGATCGGTGTCATTTGTAGCCTGAGGATACATTCTAAAAGATACAGTTTCATAACAATTATAAAATGCTGAGTTTTCCTCACCAATGCTTTGGAGATTTATTAGTGATTTTTAGCTAAAAATTTTATGAACTGCTCCTTGCTTAGGTGCATGTCCTAATATGGGAATAGTACAGAGAATATTAGCACAGCCCCTGTGCAAGGAAGACATGTGGATTTGTCAAAATTTTATGAACTAATTTGTATTACCAGGCTTCACCAACTTTTGGTGATTTCTTGCTTTTCGCTGGTCTGTAAAACCAGAACTTTCAAACTTCAAGAAGTTGACTGAATTTACCCCTTTCCCTCCTCCATCCATTACATGTCTAAGATTTATAGATATGTCAAATGTTTTAAGTTTGTTCTGGTATTGAAAATATACCCTACATATTACAATAATTTTTAATCAAATTCTCTCAAATAATTGAAGAGTACAGGGCTTCATAGGACAAGACACTAAAAATGAACACGACTCAAGAGTAAAGTCTCTTTCCTGTGAAGCCCTGCACTGTTCAATTATTTGAGCGTCCTTCTATTAATGCGCCCCAGTGCATTGTGCTACTGGATATCTATCTTATGTCTGCTATGTATGCATGTTGTTATGTTATGGAGGCTTTTTCCCAGTCACTGGCTTGCCCCTTTTATATTTTTAACTTTCTTTTTTTGTTTTTCTTCTTTTTTTGAAACAGTGTCTTACTCTGTTGTCCCAGGTAGAGTGCCATAGCTCACAGCAACCTCAAACTCTTGTGCTCAGCCTCTTGCCTCAGCATCCCAGGAAATATCCAGCTATATTTTTTTAACTTCGATCAATGCTGATTTGTTAATTTTGGTTCATTCTTTTATATCTTATCTAAGAAAATCTTGGCTAATTGAAGGTTGCAAATATTTTTTCAAATATGTATTCTTTAGAAAAGTTATAGTTTTAGTTTTCATATGTAAATTTATAAGCCATTTCAAATTAATTTTTGGTATATTAGGATGTGAGTCAATGTTCTTTTTCAATATAGCTACGCAGTTGATCCAGCATTATTTGCTGAATAGGTATAGGTTATCTATTATACAATGGGATATTAGATTTCTCTTTATAAAACACGGCAAAATTTATTAGATACTTTAATTCTCAGAAAACATTGTTTGATATTTAATTTTGTGCTGTAGTCTGCAAACCATTTTATATTTATTATGCTATTAGACTCTTGTAATAATTTTATAAGTTAAGTACTCTTAGTGTACAAATGAGGAAATTGGTTGAGTTAGAGGATTTACTGAAGATATTACACACATACACACAGTGGGCCAGGGAAAACATGAAACCTAGGTCATCACACTTTATTTCAGTATTACTTATTTCTGATTTTCAAAATAATTATTTCTTAATGGAAAATAAGTCTCAAGATATATCCTCAAAAGAACTTGAGACATAGCCTCAAATAACCACTGATTTTTCATAAAACCCTCAACAAAATAATAGCAAACCAAATTCAACAGCACATCAAAAAGATAATACTCCATAATCAAGTGGTTTTTATAGCAGGGATGCAAGGATGGTTTAATAAACACAAGGCAACTAGCATGATTCATCACATAAACAGAATGAACACTAAAAACTATATCATCATCTCAACAGATACAGAAAAAGCATTTGATAAAATTTAGCACCCTTTCATGGTAAAAAAATTTAAACAAATTAGATATAAAGTGAATATATATCAAAATAATAAAAACCTCATATGACAAATCCACAGCCCACATCACACTGAATGGGGGAAAATAGAAAGTGTTCTCTCTAAAAACTGAATTAGACAACAATGTTCATTGTCACCACTCCTATTCAACACAGTAGTGGAAATCCTAGCCAGAAAAATCAATCAGAGAAAGAAATAAAAGGCATCTAAATTGAAAAAGAGAAAGTGAATTCTCTCTTTGTTGATGATCTGACCTTATCTTTAGAAAACTCCAAAGATGACACCAAAAAACTTCTAGATTTGATAAATGCATTTAATGAAGTTTCAGGATACAAAATCCATATACAAAAATCAGGAGCATTTCTATACACCAACAACAAGCAAGCAGAGATCAGCTAGCAATATATTTAACCAAGGAAGTGAAAACTACTAAACACTGATACAAGAAATTGTAAGTGACACAAACAAATGGAAAAACATCTGTGCTCATGTGTTGGAAGAATTAATGTTATTTAAATAAACATATGGTTCAAAGTGATCTACAGATTCAATGTAATTCCTATAAAATACCAATATCATTTTTCCAACATTAGAAAAAAAAATTCTAAAATTCATATGAAAGCAAAAAGGAGCCTAAGTAGCCAGAGCAACTCTGAGGAAGTAAAACATGGAGACATCACACTACTTGATTTTTAATTATACTACAAGGTTATAGGATTTTAGTTACCAAAACAGCATGGTACTGGTATAGAAGTAGACACATAGGTGTGGTGCCCTCAGCTCAGTGGTTAGGCTGGCCACATACACTGAGGCTGGCGGGTTCAAACCCGGCCCAGGCCAGCTAAACAACAATGACAACTACAACAAAAAATAGCTGGGCATTGTGGCAGGTGCCTGTAGTCCCAGCTACTTGGGATGCTGAGGGAAGAGAATCACTTAAACCCAAGAGTTAGAGGTTGTTATGATGCTATGGCACTCAACCAAGGGTGACATAATGAGACTCTATCTCAAACAAACAAAGTAGACACATAGATCAATGGAATGGAATAGAGACCAAGAAATAAAGAAACATATCTATATCTAACTGATCTTTGAGAATCTCAATAGAATGTACACGGAGGAAAGGATACCCTTTTCAATAAATGGTCCTGGGAAAATTGGATTACCATATGCAGAAGTACCCCCTTATCTCTCCTCATATGAAAAAATCAAGTCAAAATGGATTAAAGATTTAAATCTATGACCTAGAACTATAAACTTACTAGAAGAAAACTTGGGAAAATCTTTTCTGGACATCAGTCTAGGCAAAGAATTCATGACTAAGACTTCAATAGCATGGGTGACAAAACCAAACATGGACAAATGGGACTTAATTAAAGTAAACGTTTTCTGCTCACCAAAAGAAATAATCAAGACAGTAAACAGACAAACTGCTGAATGAGAGAAAAATTCTGCAAAGTATGCATCCAACAGGGGACTGATATCCAGAATTTACAAGTAACTCAAATAGCTCAGCAACAACAAAGAAAAACAACCCGTAAAATGTGGGCAGAGAACATGAATAGATATTTTTCCAAAGAAGACATACAAATGGCTAAAGAGCATATGAAAAAACGTGCAACATCTCTAATCATCAGAAAAATGCAAAGCAAAACCCCAGGAGATACATTACACAAGTCAGAATGACTATTTCTAAAAAGATAAAAAGTAACAGATGTTGGCAAGGATGTGGAGAAAAAGGAATGCTTATACACTGCTAATGGAGATGTGAAACTTGCATGAAAAACAGTATGGAGATTTCTCAAAAAATTAAAAATAGAACTGCTGTTCAAATGACAATTCCACTATTGAGTTATTTACCTAGAGAAAAGTAAATCATTATGCCAAAAAGATACCTACACTCTTATGTTTATCATAGCACTATTCATAAGAGCAAAGATGAAATCAACGTGAGTGTCTATCAGTGAATGACTGGATGAAGAAAACATGACCCATAGATATATAATAGAATATTATCCAGCCATAGGGAAAGAATGAAAACATTCTTTAGCAGCAACGTGGATAACTCAAAAACAGAAAATAAAACTTTGTATTCTTTCTTGTAAATGGGAGTTAAATAACGTATGCGTTTGGACATAGAGTGCAGAATGATTTTGGAGTGAGACGATGTCTCAGAAAAATAGCAGGGTGTTGTGGTGGGCACCTGTAGTCCCAGCTACTCCAGAGGCTGAGGCAAGAGGATCATGTAAGCCCAAGAGTCTGATGTTGCTGTGAGCTGTGATGCCACATCACTCTACTGAGAAAAAAGAAAGAAAAGAAAAGATGGAGGTAGAGGAGGTGGATGATAAGAAATTACTTAATGGGTACAATATACATTATGCAGGTGATGGATATACTATAAGCCCAGATTTCACCACTATGCAATATATCCCTGCATTGAAATTGCACTTATCCCCCTTAAATTTATATAAATAATAATTAAAGGAGATGCAAACGTTATTATAAAAAGTCATATCCATTTTGTAATTCCTCTACAGGATGTTTGAAGACTTGACACAAAAATAAAGTTTTACAGTGTATGCATCAGCTAAAATAGCTGATCAAGATAAATGCAACAGATTTCTCTATGGTTTTACTGCCAGCTCACCCTTTCCTACAGCAAGCTCCTCCATTAGAAAGTGTAGCCAATTTTGAGAGACTCCATATCAATTTTTTATCTGCAGGTTCTGTAGTATTGCTTAGTGTTATCAGCAGGTCTCCTTTGTTAAAACAAGAGTTATGCCTACATACCAAGGTACATATGGTGCTGGAGACCAGAGCCTATTTTGCAATCAGAATTCTGGAAATAAAAGCTTATTACCTGGTTGTTTTTATTTTTCTTTTCTGTTGCCATTTAATTAAATCAGATATATGAAGAGACATTGTGGGAGAATGAGAGTGATCCAGAGACTATGAAGCTGGAAATCATTTTCTTGAGTTGCAAAGCCAGATGATACAGCTTCCCAAATTATATTCAAATGCAAAAATATATTTTTTCCCCGAAAGCATACAATTCATTAGCAGATACACCAGAGAGGGGTCTGTTAAAGATGTCGCATGAGAAAATGATAGTCAGGTTAGAATGTCTATACAAATTTCCTGTATCAGTTGATAACATACTTCTCTTATTGTTTCAGGAGCAGGAGAATCTGGGAAAAGTACTATCGTTAAGCAAATGAAGTAGGTACACAACTGTTCCAAATATTTAATACTGGATGCCTGTCCATGTATTTGACCACTCATAAAAGAAGTGCTTTGGAAATGCTGGTTGATAATCTTTCCTAAATCACAGGTCATGGTAGAGTGGTCACAATTCCTGTACAAATAACCTTCCATTCTTTAGCTAAAAGAATAATATACAAGTAATTTTGTAATCTCCCCTTTTTTTCAAAATTTTCAAGACAAATTAATGAACATTTCAAAATGTGTTAATTAATGTTCCATTAGAATTTTTGAGGAAATAAAACTTTTAACATCA